GGGTGTGATGTCATCTGGGTGGCTATGATGTCATCACGATGGGTGGGGTTATGACATTATAACATCATCATCATCATCATGGCGGGGTTGTGACGTCATTGGGCACGTCTATGACGTCACGGTGACGTCACGGCCCCGCCCCAGGCCCGCTGTTCAATTTCGATGTGCACGAGGACGTTCGGCTGCTCAGCGACGCCACCGTGGAGAAGGACGAGGTAACGCTGCCGCCGATGACGTCATCACCCCTCAGCGGTGACGTCATCACCCCATGACAAAGCCTGTCTCCCATTGGTGACGTCATCACTGTTGATGACGTCATTCCTGGGCAATGATGTCACACCCAGGCTGGGCAGTGACGTCATTGCTCTGTCGCTGACGTCACTCTCTTTTATTCCATCACTCCTTGATTACATCTCCTCCTGATTGATGACATCACTCCCAATCAATGACATCGTTGCCAATTGATGACATCACCTCCAACCAATGACATCAATCCCCCAATGACATCACCCTTAAATGATGTCATCATTCCTTACTGATGATGTCACCCCAAATGACATCACCTCTGACGATGTCATTCCCTATTGATGACATCACCCCTTACCAATGACCTCAATCACCACTCACATCAACCCCTATTGATGACGTCACCCTCTACCAATGACATCAATCCCTGATCAATGACACCCCCTATTGATGACATCACCCCAATCAATGACCTCACCCCCTATTGGTTACATCATCCCAAATCAATGACATCACCCCTGGCTGATGACATCACCCCTTATCGATGACATCACTCCTAATTAATGGCCTCACCCTACCGATGACATCATCCCAAAATTAATGACATCACTGCCAATCAATGACATCACTCCTTACGGATGGTATCACCCCGACCTATGACATCAACCCCCATCTATGACATCATTCCCACACAATGACATCACCCCCAATGACATCAACCCCCAAACAATGACATCACCCCTGACTGATGACATCACTCCTAATTAATGGCCCCACCCTACTGATGACATCACCCCAATCTATGACATCATTCCCCAAAAAATGACATCACCCCCGACTGATATCAACCCCCCAATCAATGACATCACATCTGACCAATGACATCACCCCAATCAATGACATCACCCCTGTCAATGACATCACCCCTGTCAATGACGTCATCTCCCATTTGATGACGTCACGGTGACGTCACAGTCGCACGCTGGGAAGGTCGTGCTGCGCTCGTGGTACGAGAAGAACAAACACATCTTCCCTGCCAGCCGCTGGGAGCCCTTCGACCCCGAGAAACGCTGGGACAAGTACACGGTGAGGGACCCAAAATGGCCTGAAATCACCCCAAAAATATCCCAAAAATATCCTTAAATTATCCTTAAAATGTCCCTAAATTATCCCTGAAATATCCCAAAAAATAACCCCAAAATGTCCCTTCGATCCCGAGAAACGCTGGGACAAGTACACGGTGAGGGCCCCAAAACCACCTCAATTCACCCCAAAAATAATCCCAAAATATCCCTGAAATATCCTAAAATTATCTCTAAAATATCCCAAAAATATCCACAAAATGATCCCAAAAATTGCTCTGAAATGTGCCCAAAAAATCCCCTTCGACCCCGAGAAACGCTGGGACAAGTACACGGTGAGGGACACAAAACCACCTCAATTCACCCCAAAAATAATCCCAAAATATCCCTGAAATATCCTTAAATTATCTCTAAAATATCCCAAAAATATCCAAAAAATAATCCCATAAATAGCTCTGAAATGTGCCCAAAAAATCCCCTTGGACCCCGAGAAACGCTGGGACAAGTACACGGTGAGGGACCCAAAACGGCCCCAAATCACCCCAAAAATATCCCCAAATATTCTCCAAAATATCCCTGAATTATCCCTAAAATATCTTTAAAATATCCTGAAAAAATTCCCAAAAATATTCCTAAAAAATCGCCTTGGACCCCGAGAAACGCTGGGACAAGTACACGGTGAGGGACCCAAAACGGCCCCAAATCACCCCAAAAATATCCCAAAAACATCCTTAAAATATCCCAAAATATTCCTAAAAAATCCCCTTGGACCCCGAGAAACGCTGGGACAAGTACATGGTGAGGGCCCCAAATCACCCCAAAAATATCCCCAAATATTCGCCAAAATATCCCAAAAATATCCCTGAATTATCCCTAAAATATCCTTAAAATATCCC